TATATGTATATATATATATGTGTGTATATGTATATATATATATGTATGTGTATATATATATATGTGTATATGTATATATATATATGTATGTGTATATATATATATGTATATATGTATATATGTGTATATGTATATATATATATGTATGTATATATATATATATGTATGCGTGTGTATGTATGTGTATATACATATATATATATCACTTTTATTCCAACCTGTTGTCATAAGTTAAAGAATACGATCGACTGTGTTGCCATTGTATGATATCAGGCCTCCCAACATGGCCGTGAAAGGGTGTGTGTTGTGTCCCCTGAAATCCCATCAAAAGTCCCACGTGCCTGTCGGCATGTGCGCTTTAAAGCCTCCGTGGTGTCATTTCTAAAGCCCTGTTGGCTCAACACTGTCCAGGCATTGTCCTCCCTTTTATTGCTAGTGCAGACTTAGCAGTACGGGCCAGCCCATATTGTCTTTCTCTAAGGTACACATGCTGTAGAAAGCACTGGAACAGTTCTATGTACAAACTGCTTTTTAGGTTTAGCAGACCATCGACTGTCTTTAAATTAGAGAAGAAGCCAACTTCTTCAAAATTACAGCTGTCACCTAAACCATGACAAGTGATGACTGAGTCGTTATATTTAGTTTCACTGAAAAGTAAACTTCTACCACACACTCCTGTCCAACTCATTTTTGAGTATTTAGCTAAAGTATGCTCGAAATACATGTAGATATTCCATTATTAGCAGCGTCGTTGTCGCAAACATCAATAAACACTCCCTTAACTGTCAGTATAGTTGTACAGCAGTACTTACCTGTTCATGTGGCCATGGGGCTGAATGACAGTGGGAACCAGTGGAGAGTGAGCAGGAGCAGGTGGACAGTATAACAAATGCTGTTATCACTGAGATAACAGCAGAGGGGGGGGTTGGGTGTCTGTGTTTGGGGAGGGGGTTGTAGAGGTCCGACTACATAAGGCTGGAGTTCCCTGTGTTTATAGTCATGTTAAACCAATAAATCGTGTGTGAAAGGACAACATGATACAGGCCTTCAAAAATGTTTCTGATCATTCTACATCCAACACAAGTTCTGGCACAGACACCAGAGTTATAGCTGAAAAAAAAAGCAAACCTAAAGAAATATATATGTTTTAATTTAACAAAAGAGGACAACATTCTCAAGCGTTAAATGTTGTCTAAAGACAGACGTTGCCAAAGAAACTATGAGTTAACTAGTTAAACTAGTTTTCAGAACTAGTCGTCTTTCTGCAATCAGTTTGTTTTAAATCTCTGATAAACCAGATTACAGTCTGAACATTCAGAGCCAATACTAGCTTTTGATTTGTACAAAATCTGCTCTCTGGAGTATTGACCAGTAACAGTGAACCTGCTGTGTGCTGGACAGCAGCTGTGGTCTGCAGGCCTCTGACAGCTGGCGGTCAGCACCTGTACGGCGTGTCGTCAGACGGAATGACACAACCTGAGATGGGCCACCTGTGAGTCTGTGAGCAGAGTGGTAAACTGAGGACTTATGAATAATTTAATGCAAAATGATGTGGTGGCTTAGTGGCAGGCCAATCATTGAATAACACACGGCCCGGATGGGCTTTTCAAAGTGTCGGTGCCTGAATACCTCCAAGCAGTGCTTCACCCTGGGATCGTCGTCCTAATGATGATGCTCATAGCATCACTTAGCTTCCGGTTCAAAGGCCGACTTCAACACCACGGCTATGTGATATCCTGAGTTAAATAGAAGCACCTTTGACTTCTGACAGATGTAACTCTAATGACATTTAGTTAACTTATCCTAACGGAGTCTCCTTCTGCTCTCTAAGGCTTAACCAGCAGATATGACGGACAGTTTGAAGATACGATTTGACTTCCCCAGCCCCGTCATACAAGCCCAGGTAAGCTGCTGACTCATCACACTGGTAGTCTTTAGTTCCATGATATATTCCGTATTCCTACTGTCTGGTATCTTCGTCTTCATTTCTGGTGAGTGCACAACAGCCGAGTTTGATTTGAGACAACACTACCCTGTGAGTAAGTAGAGTGGGCACCGTGTCCCACATGGAGATGTACTAATGGAAGCATTCAAATAGAGGCGGAGCTCTGTACTTTGCATATCAATCCTCTCATCTCAGCAAGAAAGCAAATAAATGTATTTCCCAGGATGTTGAACTGTCCTTGTGATGAAAACTCACAGGTTCAGCCGTCGTGCCGATGTTCTTGTCATGTTAGCCAATGAGGGAGCTAGGTTAGCAGTTCCGACCAACGGGAGGGAACAAGGCGCGTGATGTTCACCTTTCAAACCTACAGAAGGGGATTGTTTGATACTGAAAAGACAGATTTTCAGAGAACCAACAGGAAGATCTCTCTAACTTAAATGCAACATGTACCAGAAGGTCTGCTTTTTGTTTTCCAGACGGTGAGACATCTTGTTGCTGCGGTGCTAAAAGAGAAAGCAACAAATGGGCAAATCTCACAGTCCTCCACCCAGGTGAGTTACTGTGATGGCTTCATTACTGCTGAATGTGAAGTGAGTCCTGTTTTAACATGATGTTTGGATCATCAACAATTAGGGTTCATTAGAAACTGTAAACCAGCTATCAGTCATTGAAAGAAAGGTGACCATTTGATTGGAGGGGTTGAGTGGGTTACAAATATTAGTTTATGCCTGCTAAGGAAGCTCCATTAGAATCTTTAGGGCCAATAGCAGATCACCGACCGCTGGAAGTAGTATCGACCGATCACATGGTCTTTTCAATGCCTTTTATTTATCGTTTGGCATTATTTTATTTTTTTTAGCTGTTCTTAACAACATTGCATATTTAGTTTTGAAATTAAGAGATGAGAAATATCATGAATTGACTGTTTATTTATTGGCAGGCAACATGTGCAACATATTCCACTCTCTCTCTTAGAGACACAACTCACAACTACGCTGAGGCCTTTTTAGCGGCACGTAGACAAATTGTCTTACGTGTTTTGCCCACCCTTAATACCTACTTGTGTAGCATTTCCAAGAGCAGTTGATGAGCAACTGTCAGAATATTTTGCAACACCAGTCACATGTAACAAGAACCACGTTTTTATCTCTGCAGGCGTAATCCTGGGTAGAGGTTATGTGTTTGGCCGTGTATGTGACTGAGTGAGTGTGCACCTCTGTGTCTGTCCACAGCTAATCTTGCATTCTGCTGCGGCTAACCGTATGACCTCTTGTGGTGGTGGTGACTCCCACTTTCTCTAAACCCTTTTTATAACCTGTTATATACTGCCACTGACTTCCTGCTGACTCCTTCCTCACTACTCCTAACTGGCTCCCACGGACGCTAGGGGCCGCTAGTGATACCCCTGCTGAGTGCATCGCCGACCCCCAGCAGCTACTCTGCACCCAAAGACACAGTGGGAGGAAACAGTTTGCACACTGTTATGACAGCCAACAGCCAACAGAACTACCAGTACACACACTGCTGAGTACCTCTCGGCAGCTGCTCTGCGGCCCACTTTTAATGTTTTTTTTTGGGACGGTGTGTTTGGCTAGCCACTATCAGCTAACGGAACTACCAGTGCACACACTGCTGTCCCTCTATTAGTCGGTTTCACAATGCTTTACAGCACTTGTTGCATTAATTCAATCACACAATACAGCAGTGGTCATTGCAGACACACCTAGCAGAGATTTGAACTCTACTGTGTGCACCTTTTTGGTTTGAAATGCATATTTCCAAATCTGAATATGGTCTGGAAAAACTATGCCGGACAGTAAATTCAGTACCTTCTTCCCTTTTAAGCTGAATCTGGATCCAGATCTTGAGTTGTGTGTGTTGCTGTGTGTTAGGGCCCGGCGCTGGAGGCTCTGTGGCAGCAGTGCTGCAGTGACTGTGCTCTGGTGCGTTCAGCCTGCTGCGATGCCGTGGTGCTGCTGGTGGATCAAGGCCACGCAGACCTGCACTACGTTCTCAACAGCGTCCTAAACCTCCTGCCCTCTTCCAGGTACACAAAGCACACAGTGTCCAATCGCCAATGTTAAAGTAGAGCTTTACTAAATCTAACTTTGCATGTGTTTTGATTTTGTATGCTGTGCCGTTCTTGTACCTCTCTGTGAAAATAATTTTTGCAGCAACTTAAAGGATAATTCCAGTTGAAGACAACTCGGCTCTTATTGTTTTTTAGGTTAAGCCATTCTTGTCAACGACTTTACTCACCAAGTTTACTACTGAGTTCTGAGTCATCTCTTAAGATGAGACTTGATCTCTCCATGTCTTCCTTGTGTTTCTTAAAAATATCTTTGTAAAAAGGAGCAGAAATAGTGATAAATAAGAATTATCCTTTCAGTAGAACCTCAAGGAAAAGAAAACTTGCAAAACGCTGGGATGTCCTCAGAATTCAGTTACTGTATCATTCATGGATGAGACAGTGCTTTTGTAGTCTACTGAAACGTGCATCCAAATTCAAATATGCACTCACTTTGCACAAAATATTTGCTCACTGTTATCAGTGGGAGGTATAGAAGTTTGTCAGTAGATCATGGGTGTGTCATCACTAGGTGCGGTTGAGTTGCACCCTTTTGTCAACTTAAGCCTTCAAAATCTCTCCTAAAGTCTCTCCTTGACAAAGACGAGATGTTTATGAGCTTCATGAAACAAAAACTGTGACTAAGACTTAATATCATTGACTCAAAACAAGAGTTCACTCAAATGGGATTTGAATCTAATTCTGGGAGCTTTGCCACCTTTCCTTCCTGTTCTTTTCTCTCCTGACTCATCTTACTGCCTCGTTATGTTTAGAAGACGCGACTTGCTCGCTCTGCTTGTTTTGACAGATATTATTCATTTAATTGGATGTTTTTATTAATAGTTTTCACTACCCGTGATCACAGGTAGGTAGGAACACATTGATGGAGGGCCCTCTCTCTCTGTGGGCCCCGGTGTAACCAAAGGGCCTTCACTGTCTATATATTTACGCCCCTTTAGATGAACACTGGCAGGCCACAGTGCATAGTGTACATGGAGCATGTACAGGACTGTAGGTAATGCAGCACCTCTATGCAGAAGCATAATTCAGCTTTTAGTAAGAGGACACTGCCACTTTGCCCTCTGATGATCCATTAGTCCCTCTCATGCCCCGACCATCAGAGCAGGAGGATCGGGTCTAACTGCAAAGCGACCTTTTCTATTCAACATTATATGACTCATCTTATATGGAACAGGGTGAGTCAGCATATGTATATACACAAATAGGCTTTACCATGTGGCTTTTTATTTATAGTACTGTATTGTGATATATAATATTATCAGGATAAAAAATGACCAATAGAAGATTTTGGCCGTATCACTTAGCCCTAATTGTAGTTGACAATTAATTGCTGTGCACCATTTAATTGTCTATTTCTGTTCATTGTATGCCACACAGCGGTGCTGTTGTGTTTGGCTTTGCAACTAGACCTAAAGCAATGTTGTTAGTTTCAACGACTGCTCATTTAAATGGTGCGATAGTTGGTCAATTCATCTTCAAATAGTTTGCTGAAACAGTATTTCACCTCTCGCTGTGCTTCACACAGATTTACGTTTAGAAGCTTTTTCTGAAACTGTTGTGTAGGCCGACCTAATCTAATCAAAGACGCAAGTTATTTCATTATTGTAGAAGGCAGTGGCGGGCCGTGCATTTTATACCTGGGCCTTCTGAGCTGTCCCACTACACTTGAGCCACCTCCTGATAAACTCATTATGACGCCACAGCTACGGTTATTTGTTTCTATGGTGTAACAATACACATATTCGTATTAAACCATTCGGTACGAGGCTTACCAACCGAACAATACGTTTGAATAATACTAGTGCATTTGGAAAATGCAGAAGCTTAAATTGTGGGAAATGTAATGTTTTCGGTGGACTGCGCTCACGTAGGAGACAACGGGATGTGACCTCTGAACCTGAAACAAAAAACAGCTTAGGCGGCGGCACCGCACGTGTCTTCAGGGAGGCTAAGCTAACTAGCTTAGCGGGGAAACAACAGCCCGAACAGATTCAATTGTCCGGACAATAACCCCGCGCATGACGGGATGCTTCGTCATTAACGGATAATGCATATAGTCCAAATCAATGTAATTAACACAATGACATGAACAAACTCACAAGAACCAGTCACATGAGTTTATATGACAACAAAGCAACAAATCAATCCAGCAACACTGCAGTGCTAGAGCACGAGCCATTCATGCTATTCATAAAAACGACACGATAGACAAATGAACACAGTAGTAACGATACTGCAGAGGTAAAAACACAAAAGCAGTTCACTTACCACAGCTGCTGTTCACTTAAAGACAAAGTCCATCCTCCTTTCTTTGATAACAAAGAGTTTAAAACCGTTGTTCAGAACATCAGTGCGGGTCAGTTCCATCCAGAGTCCTCCTACGAACGTGTTCGTTGAGTTGTAGATCCACTCGGGTCTCTCCAAAAGATTTCAAAAGCACGTAGCTTGCGGTGTCCTGTCGTGTAGCTGCCTTGGTTAGCGTAGCGTAGCTCCAAACAGCTCCAAACACCAAGAGCTCAGTTACAAATGAAAGGCATTCTTAGCCATAAAATGTGCAACGCTTCTCCAACGCTGTCAGCCAGAAATACCGTTTGTACAAATCCTTTTCCATGCTGGGTCAGGGCTGCTAGCTGTGGGGTTGGCCGACCCTTTGAGACGATGTCCAGTTTTTCTGGAAATGTCCTTCTCCAGAAATCCGTTTCTCCTCCATCAGCCATTGAGTGTTCAAAAAACAAAGCTAGGTAAAAAAATAAATAAACTACACCAAGCAAAACCCTAAAAATGTCTTCAACCTGAACTCTTAGTAAATGCTAAGATCTGCTAGCTAGCTTTCTGTTTGACAAAAGTCACGCTGGCCCACTGACCAATCACGGCGCACGTTAATGCAGACGTACTTAGCAGGCTACCTGAGTACCGCTGGCATGTCAAAGAATACGCCCAACATGTCAAACTAAAGATCTGATTGGTTGAACACTATGACAATCAACAATATCGTCCCCATTCACTTAAACTGCAAAGTCTACCTAGAGGACCTCGGGCCTCTCTCCTTACATAGAGACATAGGGGCTGAATCTGATTGGATAAAAGCTCTCCTTAAAACAAGCTGTGCTGGAAGCAGAGCAACAGAGGAAGACAGGAGCTGTGCAATGAGAAAATAAGATTATGGGAAAAATAATTATAATACATGTAGTGTATTTCTGAAAAATTATAAAATAGCTATAACTTTGTGATTCTGTTTAGGCCAGCAGAGAAGGCTTAGCTGGCCCTGACGGCCCACCACTGGTAGGAGGCCTGATTTATTTTCAAAAGTTTAATGAGCTCTATATGAGATTCAGAGAAAATGTCAGAATGAAGGATTGCCTCCACACGGCTCTCAACATGGCGACGGCTGAGCTGAGCTGTGCTAACAGGGCTAACATGCTGATGGAACAACACCTTATTCGCATATGTAACATTAGCTTTAACATTCTATCAAATATGGAATCCAGGGATTATGCTAAATGATCGCAGTCAGCTCAAATAGTTGCGATCAAGCAATTAAGTAACACACAAATCAATTGATATTGATCTTCTCTCAGAAAGAAAATAGGCTCCTTTACTTTTTGTAAGTTAGCTCTTTCCTTTTGAGTCTTTCTTGATTATTCTCTGTGTTGCGTTTGTGACCTGTGAACAGAAACGTCCAGGGGCTGATGAAGGTCATCGGACGGCTGCTCCAGATGCAGGCAGACCAGAGAGACAGAGACACACACTTCACCTGTCCTTACTCCATCAGGTCAGTCTTTCTCACACACAAGATACACAGCATGCGTAGTGTAAACAATGTATCTCTATTTCTGCATCTTTGCATGTGACTGTTGCGTATAACCGATTATATCACACATGATGACATTATCAGGGTTATATCCACAGACTTGGAGGATGCCCTTGATATGTGGACTCATCAGTCCTATTCAATATAGTGCGTAGGATTCATAGGACTAAGGGTGCTTTCACGCCTCTAGTTTGGACTTGTGTGTTAACATCAACAGCAAATCATGCAGCTCATTTGTGCTTCCTGTTGATGTTCTCTGGTCACATCAAGACAGAAGTGATTATGAGTGTAATTAGCTGAGACTGCATCTGGACTTCATATATCATAAGTGGGGACGAGGAGACAGAAACGTGTGGTTTTTACGTTTCGTTTGTTTCACTCTCTGTTTTCTAGGGGACTGGTAAAATACATAGGACACTATTTCTGGGGGGCATTTGTGCCTTTATTTGGCAGTGTAGAAATGGGGGTTAGAGAGAGGGTGTGTGTGTGTGTGGGGGGGAGGGGCATGCTACAAAGGACCCAAGAACCCTGATGCCGCAGTTATATAGCATGCTGACACTATTTATACAGAGCTCTGGTTGAACTCCTTTTCACTTCTTGATTAAACCATTAGCATGGTTCCCAGATAATCTTGTATAATGTCGGCTAAACTTTGAGGACTTTAGCAGTTGTTAAGCTTTTGAATTTGTACTAAAATCACATATTTGCTGTCACACAGTCCGATAGTTGGTCTGCTTTGCTTTCCCACTCCAAAGGACACTACAGATGAGATGCTTCATGTTAATCAGTGAGCTATAGACGTGTTGTAGCTGTATTCATGAGTGATATTGTGACATGTTACAGTAGGAAACACAGGTGCGAATAATTCCAATGAATGATGGCTGAATTCCATTTAGCTGCTTCAGTTCCGGGATCCTGGTATTGTTCCTGTGATGGCTTAGACACTTGAATAGATCATCATCTGGTTTGTTATTTGTTTGTTTGGTTTGTCTTGACCCGTCAAACTTTAGCATTTTCACAATTTTACGAAACCTCAGCATTTACTGTGACCAATATTTGAGCCAGTGAAGATGAAGGTCACACTTACTTGGAACTATTCAGAGTGGGGCTAGCCCTCTGTGGTTCAGGTCAGTCAAACTGGTTTATTGTCCCCAGGCAGATAGAGTGGAGCGTCCTCCTCCTCCTTGTCCTCCTCCAGTCTTAGGCCTGCACCTCTGCCAGGACCCTGGGGCCTCCTTAATCAGTTACAGCGGGGGATAAAAAGACTGTGCCGCTTTGTATTTTTTTCCTTTTCCTTCATGTTTCCCTTCCTCCCTCCCGCTCTCCATGTACCTCGCTCCCTCTTAACCTCTCTTTCTCCACATTCTATCCCTCCTCTCTTCCTCTCCTCCTTCCCATTGTCCTCTTCTGTCTCGTTCCGTCTTCGTCGCTGCCTCTGCTGTCTGCGTCTGTCTGGCGGCCCGCACCTCCCCGTTGGGAAGATGAATGTGTCGGGGGCAGCAGGGTGGCGCCGTTGGCCTGGCAGTCTGGCCCTCCATTGGTCATCAGGCTTGGCACCGCTGGGTAACTGTAAGTGCTGCAGGATTAATGGAGGATGCACACTGGCGTCCATTGTTGACCGTCTGCTCGCCGCTGCCCCGTGCAATCTGCCACAGAGACTCTGAGCCACTTTGGCCCCCCAGCAGGATCGGGGAGGGTCCATTTCTCATGTGATATCTGACTGTAGTGTCGTCTGTCCTGGGTGACCCCTGCAGGCTGTCTGCCTGCTCAGGTAATCAGCAATATGAGTCTGTGTTACAATTACATTGAGGGCTCACTTCATTACACAGGAAATACTCACTCATGCACATGCGTTAGTTGTGGAGAGACACCAGCGTGATGGAGCCGCCACATAGTCAGGCGTTCGAAGCGGTTAGGGGTTCAGTGTCTTGCTCAAGCACACGTCAGCACCTGCCAGTTCACACTCTGTAACGTGTTGGACTTGACCCGGTCACCTTCCGTCTCCCAAGCCAAGTCCCTTACAAAACTGGTAAAATTCTAAATATAATCATAAAGCACTTTAACTATAACCACAGTTAACATTGAATTCTGAAAACAGATGTCAATTAATATCAAGCGGATTGAATCCATCCATCCATCCATTTTCCTCTGCTTATCCGGGGTCGGGTTGCGGTGGCAGCCGGCCAAGCAGGCTGACCCAGACTTCCCTCTCACCGGCAACATGTTCCAGCTCATTCTGGGGGATCCCGAGGAGTTCCCAGGCCAGCTGGGAGATGTAATCCCTCCAGCGTGTTCTGGGTCTTCCCCGGGGTCTCTTCCCAGTTGGACGTGCCTGGAAAACCTCCAGTGGGAGGTGTCCAGGAGGCATCCTAATTAGATGCCCGAACCACCTCACCTGACTCCTTTCGACGCGAAGGAGTAGCGGCTCGACTCTCTCGAATCTCTGAGGCTGAGCCCGGCCACCCTACGGAGGAAGCTCATTTCAGCCGCTTGTAGCCGGCTGAAAGGCGCCGGGCGGGAGTGGGGATACTCTCGAGCCCCCGGCTGAGCGCCGCTGTGTTGGAGTTCTCCCCGGAGAACGAGAGGGTCGCCTCCATGCGCCTACGGGTTGCGGGGAGCAAGGCTCTGACTGTGGTTTGTGCTTATGCACCAAACAACAGTTCAGAGTATCCGACCTTCTTGGAGTTGGTGGGAGGGGTCCTGGAAAGGGCGCCGCCTACCGACTCCATAGTTCTCCTGGGGGACTTCAACGCTCACGTGGGCAATGATGGAGAAACCTGGCGGGGGGTGATTGGGAGAAACGGCTTGCCCGATCTGAACCCGAATGTTGTCTCATTATTGGACTTCTGTGCTTGCCACGGTTTGGCCATAATGAACACCATGTTCGAACATAAGGTGGCTCATAAGTGTACCTGGTACCAGAACACCTTAGGCCGGAGATCAATGATCGACTTTGCAATCGTATCATTTGATTTGCGGCCGTATGTCTTGGACACTCGGGTGAAGAAGAGCAGAGCTGTCAACTGATAACCACCTGGTGGTGAGTTGGATCAGATGGTGGGGGAACCGGTTGGAAAGACCTGGCAAGCCCAAACGTGTAGTGAGGGTGAACTGGGAACGTCTGGCGGAGGACCCTGTCCAGCAGGTCTTTAACTCCCACCTCCGGAAGAACTTCTCACACATCCCGAGGGAGGTTGGGGACATGGAATCCGAGTGGACCATGTTCAAAGCCTCTATTGTGGACGCGGCCGCTAGGAGCTGTGGCCGGAAGGGCATCGGTGCCTGTCGGGGCGGCAACCCGAGAACCCGGTGGTGGACACCGGAGGTGAGGGAAGCCGTCAAGCTGAAGAAGGAGACCTTCAAGGCCTGGTTGGCCCAGGGGTCTCCCGAAGCAGCTGACAGGTACCGGCAGGCCAGAAGGGCTGCAGCTGCGGTGGTCGCGAATGCTAAAACTCGGGCATGGGAGGAGTTCGGGGAGGCCATGGAGAAGGACTTTCGGTTGGCCTCAAGGAGGTTCTGGCAAGCCATCCAACGGCTCAGGAAGGGAAAGCAGGGCTTACCCCAGGCTGTTCTCAGCAGGGGGGGGGGAACTGCTGACCTGGACGGGGGACATCGTCGGGCGGTGGAAAGAGCACTTTGAGGAACTCCTAAACCCGACCAACAGGTCCTCTGTAGAGGAGGCAGCGCCTGAAGATGTAGGGGGAGGCTCACCCATATCCCTGGCAGAGGCCGCTGAGGTAGTTAAAAAGCTCCTTGGTGGCAAGGCGCCGGGGGTGGATGAGATCCGCCCTGAGATGCTGAAAGCGCTGGACATGGTTGGGCTGTCCTGGCGGACTGAATACCTTTTGTAAAATAGAGTTCTGCATTATTTTAGTTTACATTCATTTTAGATTTTTAGTCTCTGACTTTGTGTTGTTTCCTGGGATATTTGGTGGGAAACAACCATACAGTTTATCAGTCACATGTACAAGTTTTGGTGTGTTTAGCACACACAAGAGTCTTACACAACAGACTGCCCGGCACTTTCTCTACTCACCATAGGATCCAAGGTTTGCTCTTTATTTGACACCCTGTAGTGTGAATCCTGTCATGTCACCCTATCTTCTAAATTCTGTCTCTCTTGTCTTGTTTCACTAAATAAAAAGTGACTAAAGTGAATAAAAGATAAAGTTTGGTCATTTAATTCTGGCATCACGGTTGAAGAGTTGTGGTCAATAGTGTGACTGCGTATCATTGGAGGAGTGTCAATACTAGTGGCGATATGATACCTGTGTCTTGGTACTAATACCAAATGTAAACACGTTTTTTTTAGGACAAATGATATTTTTCTAAAGGGACTAAAGCTTCCTGGCCTTAGTTGTGCTTATTACCTACATGCGATAGAGGGCTGAACCTTCTGATCTTTGGACTGCCAAACTGTTGAGTGATGAGAAGTGGTTTTATCTGTAAATGGTGAGGAAGCGGTCATATATCATCTCTTAAAGATAGCTTCAAGATTAAAGGGATTTATGAAGGCTAATGTTTTAGTGACGTTCTCCTGCTGTGGTGCTTTCAGATGGTAAATGAGGCAAACCCAGACTTCCCCTCAGACGTCCCCCAGGAAGCTGAGCATTCCAGTGAACGGATGTTACCTGGCCCATTTGTCTGCCAGCACTCCGATTCACCGGTGAACTTGGAGTTGAACTAAGAGGAGGAAGGTCTCGGCCTCGACTTCCTGCCTCTCCCTTTGTGTGGCGGCTGAAAAGCAGGGAGCTGGGAGGCTGATGGATGGGAGCCGTGTAGAGGAGACAGACACAGGGAACCCGAGGAGGGGGACAGAGATGGTCGGACAGATAGCAGCATGTAAAGGAGGAGGAGGGGGGGGCGCTGTGTAGTCCATGTCGAGGCCTCGCTGTAGTCTGTCACATGCACAGACATGCTCAGTCACTGAACTTCCTTCCTACACTTCGATATGTGATGGATGGAAGGCGTGGGTTAAGTGCTGTTGAGTTGACCTACGGGCCGTCTGTGGGCTTCACCTTGGATTTGACCCCAGTGTTTTGTCTGGACTTAATGGGTTTGCAAATGCACGAGTAATGGAGGTTGTGTGTTGTTTACACTCACAGGACAGGACAGGTAGAGGACGGCTAGGTTTAAAACTGCTATTTTACTACAAATAATAAGCAGAAGATTTCATATGAATATGAGATTTGTGGGCGATTCAGGCTTATTCACAAAGAATGGATCACGAACGCTGATGGCACCATGAATTGTGCATCAATTGGCAGCCGCTGTCTGCTCCGTCTGAAGGTCCGATTCACAAAAGATATCGTGCTAATGCTATTACAGTGCAAACATGCCCATAAAGTTTGTGCAAGTAGCACTTTTTTCTGCGTCTGATTGCAGTTATCAATGTCGCAAAATATAATTTAACAAGAACACAGTAGGCAGACTGAAAAATAAGATGTCCAGACATCGATGTGCAGAGGCATTATTTAAAACTTCAGGCGAGGATTTTAAATGTGACCGAGAGAAACCCTATTTGGGATTTAATATCCCAGTCTGGAGCACTGAGATGCTGTTTGTGAAGGGTTGCTTCTGTAGTTCCAACAAATCCAACAGAGTGAGACGTCTTCTCTCTAGTTGATCACGTCAGTTTCAGGGCTCACATTCTCCAGTTAAACTATCAGTCATATCTGTAATTTAAGTTTATTAACGTAATAGTTTGGAACCTGGACCTTCAGTATTTTAATGTAGGAGCTCGTGAAAAATACGGTGTTTTGAATGGTGATAACCTTGGTTTACTAACATCTGTGTCACATCTGTGTTGTTTTGCAGGAGCAGCCCTCACCCATTCATCACTGCACTGGAGAACCGCGTGGACTGCTGGCCCACTCTGCTGCTGGAGATTGATGACTTCATTGGGCAGGCTGCTGACAGGTTAGCATGGCTGCCACAGAGGCCTTGAACCCTCCATCCAATCACCCCCCCCCCTCGCTGCATGAATTTCAAAGCACCCATCCCGATAACTCGTCTCCCCACCGTCAGCTGTTATTACAATGATGACGGATAAACACAGACACACACCACAATGGCACATACTGCTTTCTTTTTAAGGCTTAAGTTTCCGTTTCACACCTTGTGTTTTTGCAGAAGGCAACCAGCCTACATCACCATGCTGGCCCCCTTCCTGCGGTACCTGTACTGTGAGCCTCAGAGGCAACCCCAACACGCCCTCCTGCGGCACAGACTCCTCAGGGTGCTGCTGCCCGTACACCCAGGAGCTGGATCAGTCCTCCAGAACAAGGACCAGGAACACACCTCCCCAGTGTCTGACAGCCTGCTGCACTGCCTCTGTCAGCTGGTGCCACACATGCAGGTGACACGCTGATTTTAGCGTGCGTTTAGGTGGAAATCCATCAGAAGCCACATCTATCACAAAAGTAGCATGACAAGTAAACACATTGCACCTCACCAGATTAGTTGTTTCCTGCTTTTGGTCTTCTTCCACTCACTGTCAGTGAGGTCAGATGATGTTTTAAAGAACGGTCTCAAGAGAATCCTGGGAAATAAAGAGAAGGGTGCTTTGTAGTCATAGTGGCCACTGTTTACAACAAGTGTCATAGTCCCACTTTAAATTCATTTCAAATCTTGTTCTCACAGTGCTTCCTAAACAAGTTTTCATCACTGTAGTCTTTTTTTAATTAATACATTTGTTGGATCAATCATGGTTGAACAAAAAAATAAACTAGACAAAAAAAAACACATAATGAATAAAGTATGTTAAAAGTATATTTAGTAGTAACAAGTCACCTCTAAAATGTTGCTTAGTTTTGCTATTCCTACATTATCATAATAACTTGAAGGATATTTTTATAAAAAATAACTCAAATACCAAGTGACAAACAACGTCTGCTTCCTGCAGCACCTTCTTGTGAAATCTTTTCACGAAACATATCTCACACGAGCAGCAGTTTGGTGTCACTCAGTTTCAGATGAATTTCTTTTTCAACAATATATTATCGGGGGAAAATGTGGTCGAGGAAAGGAATGAAAGCACTGAGAGGAGTTGGTGTGGTGCTGTCTGTGATGGCAGGTGGACAGCGTGGAGGCGGTGCTGGAGCTCTGTGGATTCGTGGACACTCTGCTTCAGGGTCTCGTCCCGGCCCCCGAGGAGCGCTGGAGGACCGAGAGAGTCGGGCTGCTTCTACAGCTGCTGTGTGCCTGCCAGCGCTGCCTGGAGTTAAACGGAGACTGTCGACCTCTTCTCAATGTGTTGCAGCGGCTGCTGTCAGCTGGTCATCAGGTGACACGGCAGTTTACGGTCCAATAAAACTCTAGATTATTATTTACTCTGGACAACTTCATCATCAGTAGCTCATCTAACCTTCACCGTTTATATCTGCAGGAGCTGCCATTGGACGAGCTGCTGATGGGCGTGGCCATGCTCCTGTTAGAGGTCCCTGCAGCTCAGCAGACCAGCCTGCTCAGTCTGGGTAAAAGCCTCTTTAATACATCTGTTAAAAGGGTGAGACATCCAGTACTCAACACACATTCTTAAAGGGATAGTGTGGATGTTTTGAAGTGTGGTTGTAATATAGTGTATTACCTGTATTAGATAATGTACCCTATATTTAGAATACAGTCACTGCCGTTATCTCCATTAATTCTCTCTTCAAAGACTCCTGACAAAAACAATCTTACCTCTCAGAACACAGGAGTTGCTGGCCTACCGCTGCCTCCATCAGCTTGTGTTCTTGCGTGACTTTTTTCTGATCAGAGTTTAATCTTTAAAACACCAAAGTCACACAATAACACCAACTAACTAACTAACTAACCGATGGAGGCAGCAGAGGACCAGCAGCTCCTGTGTTCTGAGAGGTAAAATGACTGAAACTGTATCTACTGAAGGTAATAAACTCACTATAAGCACTATAAAGAGAAGTACTGCATACAAACCCACTTCAACAAAGCTGAACTATTCCTTTAAAGTCTAAAGCTGCTTTATGCAAACACTTACTAAATGTCCCATTAACTGGTTGACTGGGAATCATCACTGCAGTATGACAAAATATGAGGACTACTGTTCTGTATGAGATTTTAAGAAACACATCATTTTAATACAATATTTTCAATAAAAAAGTGGTAGTTTTATTAGAAGTTTAAAATGAAGTGATATTTCTAGATATTAATTTTAACGCTCTGTAAACAGGTGAGAGCAGACAGGAACTGATCTTTACTGTAACTGTCATTTCTAGGGGAAGTTCCTGGAAATGACTTACTGTTACAAGAGGGGAAATGAAGGCAATGTTCAGTTCTCATTTGACTTGATTTATAGCTTAAACTAGAGAGTCCTTCAGTCAGTACACAGCATGTTGTCTGAACATACAGATTTATTCATACATTGTAAGTTATAGTTAAAACTATCATGATGCTTCCTTGCTACATAATTTCCCAAGTTGGCATGTTCAAGTCCCCCGCTGTTGCTCTGTTGTTGTTTTCATCTCTCCTACTTTACAACCTCATTTACTCATATGGATTCTTTAACCTTCATGGAGCTTTGTTCTCCTCTCGCTCCCTCTCTCTCTGGGTGACACAGCTCTGAGTTTAGTCCCTGAGCAGGCTGAGCCGTCACCCTGGTTGAGTCCAGTCCTGGTTCTTCCTGTGCTGCAGCTCCTGTCCTGCTCGGACCTCACCGAGCCGCTGGCCGACCGGCGGACGCACAGTCTCAACCAGGACCTGGCCCACAGGCTGCTCCGCCGCGTCAGCAGAGAGACGGATAAACCAGGACAGGTAGCACTGAGGATGTTTCTCCCAGGTTCTATAATGGTCATTAGTCTGTCATTGATAAGCAGCCTGTGACACAAAATGAACGACCAGATTTGAGCTAGTTTAGATCAAAAATACTTACATCCGACTGTTTTTCATGAGCAGTTATCTCATAATACTCCAGTCGGACATACACTGTATAATTCAGCATTTTTGGGCTTTTTAACTAACATTTCAACAGCTTTTATTTTACGAGAAACTGCAGGAAGTCCTCTCTACCATATACGCTAGCTTCACAGCAGGCAAAACAGAACATTTCATCTGTCAATCACTGCTGAAAGTACAGAACACAATGAAAAAGCAATACTTTCACATATAGTGCAATAAAAACTGAGCTCGATAGTGAAATAGCAGCTCTATCGGCTGTGGTTGAAGTCTTTATATTACTGGAAAAGGCACGTTCAGGTTCCATACCTCCCCTTGCCTGTCACTAATCTCTCACCCCCACATTTAACTATAACCATGCGCCCATGGATACCGGCGCACATTTACAGACAGTCTCTCGTAGTGTTGCACTCATTCGATCACATGAAGAGTGAAGAAATGAAACACAGCTAGAGACAGAAAAGCAAACCCTGGCTCCTTTCTCACGTCCACACTGCTGACCAAGCAGCTTAAGGGAGCGTTTCTGATGTTACTTCCTTTCAATAATAATAATAATTCCAGTGGGAATTTTATATCTGCATAGCTTTTTGTTGAAAACATGGCCCTCAGTAACCAGCATTGGTGAGAATTTCATGCAAGTCTTCTCAATTTCTGTTTTGACGTTTCTTCTTCTTTTTCAGTTGTTGATTTGTTTATTTATTCAATTCAATTCAATTTATTTTTGTACAACCCAAAATCACAAATTACAAATTTGCCTCAGAGGGCTTTACAATATGTACACATTTGACATCCTCTTGTCCCGGAACGCTCACGTCAGAACAGGAAAAACTCTCCCAAAAACCCCTTTAACAGGGAGAAAAGAGGAAGAGACCTGAGGGAGAGCAACAGAGGAGGGATCCCTCTCCCAGGATGGACAGAAGTGCAATAGATGTCATGTGTAGAACAGGACAACAGAATTACAACACATTCAATGTAATTACAACACATTCAATGTATGACAGAACCACGGCAGGAGGCAAGACCAGGTCTAGGTATAACCCGGATACACAGGAACCTGTGAGGCGAGAAAGCACAGAGACTCCGGGGAAGAAACAAAGTCAGTGATGTGCATTAATGGGACATCAATTCATACAGACAGAGATGAAGAAGAGGAGAGAGGTGCTCAGTGTATCCTAGGAAGTCCCCCTGTAGTCTAAGCCTATACCAGCTTGTCTAAGGGCTGGTCCAACCCTAGCCCTAACTATAAACCCGAGCCAGCCCTAACTATAAACCCGAGCCAGCCCTAACTATAAACCCGAGCCAGCCCTAACTATAAGCAATATCAAAAAGGAAAGTCTTAAGCCTACTCTTAAATGTGGTGAGTGTGTCTGCCCCCGGACTGAAACTGGAAGCTGGTTCCACAGAAGAGGAGCTTGATAACTGAAGGTTCTGGCTCCCATCCTACTTTTTAACACTCTAGGAACCACAAGTAACCCTGAATTAATGGAGCGCAGCTCTCTAGTAGGGTAGTATGGTACTATAAGCTCTTTATGTGTTTAATCATAGATTTGAGCGTGTAACAGAAAAACCTTTCTTCATCTCCCTCCGTCTACTCAGTCTGGGCCACCATTGGCTCTTCCTCTCAGTTCCTGGTACAGCGAGCTCAGCCTGGCTCTGTCGACGCTGCGTAAAGTGGCAGACAATTCGGCGGCAGCAGCTGAGTGGCTGCTGTCGGTCAGCTCGGCCCTGTCGTCCAGCCATAGCCGGCTCTGCTCCCTGGCCCTCATCGTGACCCACGTCATCATCTCGAGTCGGGAAGACGTCTGCCAGCTGGCTCTGAAAGCAAGCCAGGCCATCGCTGCTGCCGACCCCTGCCAGGTAGTTGATCCACAAGCCTCAGTTCAGCCTGGTGGTTCCTCAAAACTAAAATATTCACATTTCACCTCAAGGCAAAATACAGCTGCCTCTGCCTTTTTTTTAGTACATAGTGGCCTCAACTTGTGAAGCTGTTTTTTTCTTCCACTTTTTTTTATTATCACTGCATTTCATGAGAATTTTCACACAATAATGATAATAAGTTACAGCACTACATGAGGTTACATTTGGGTGTTTGTTGAACTTAGTATGTACATTACCACATCACTAACCCATCACCCTCTGACTCACTAAAACAGATGAACTAACAGGTACTGAAAATGTATGTATGCAAATGAGGTATGATCTTAATAAATATGGGCTAATTTGCATACATTTCCAGAACATAAATTGGATAAAGCCAGGTTCAAAATTCTTGTTTCATTTTGAAACATATTAGAGTTCAAGGTTTTTACAGAGGGAATTTTGAATATCTCTTTTTATCACTCCATAAATTAGAAAATAAAAATGTTTTTAGTAATAATATATTGTATAAATCTGTCAGTTAAAATATTTGAAAAGGGCAAATGTTTTAACTAATAGATAGCACCATGGATCGTCCCCACTTGATTTCATTAAGATAATTATTTTTTTGTATTACAAGTTGTCTAAAATGTTATGTTTAAATATGCAAATGAGACATTAACTAATGCAAACTTTTGGTGATTTTAGGAAAAATCGACAGACCCAAATAGACAAAATCTGAAGATTGACCAGTGCCTGGGGTGTTTCCCCGCTACCGTTAATGAAACATGACATTGAAAGGTTACTATTAAAGGATGGAATATGCCCATTGAGACACTAGAAGACTTTTATTGTGGAAAATATCTGTGTAGGAAGTCTTGTTATCAACTATCCAAACCCAGCTAAATGGAACATTCCTGTTCAAAGAGGTGAGTGTGACATCAGTATGTTGTTGTACTGATGGAGTTAGAGCTGTGTTAATGTACATTATGCTGAATTTAGCAAGACAACAGGTAATAATAATAATAATATAATACATTTTATTTATATAGCGCTTTAAAAGGCACTCAAAGACACTTTACATGTTAAAAACAGAAACAATAGAAGCATTTATAATAAGAACAAAATATACGACATAACTAAGAAAAAAAAAATAAAATAAACATGAAAAGACAGAAAGAAAACAAACATGACTGACTTTAGAGGTTATAAGCAGATTTGAATAGGTGAGTTAAGTGCAGTTTTGAAAGTGGCGAGTGATGAAGAATGTCTGAGGTGTTGGGGCAGGGAGTTCCAGAGGGAGGGGGCAGCAACGGAGAAGGCCCTATCCCCCCAGGTCCGATGCTTGGACAGAGTAGGGGGGGTAAGGAGGTTGGCGTCGGCAGATCTGAGGTTGCGGTTGGGAGTGTGATGGTACAGGAGGTCCGAAAGGTATGAAGGGGCAAGGTTGTGGAGGGCTTTGTAAGTGATGAGGAGGATCTTGAACTGGATTCTTTGCTGTATGGGGAGCCAGTGGAGGTTTTGAAGGACTGGGGTGATGTGGTCTCTGGTGCGGGAGTGGGAGAGCAGACGGGCAGCTGAGTTCTGGATGTATTGTAGTTTATTGATGATTTTGGTGGGTGAGCCGTACAGGATGCTGTTGCAGTAGTCCAGTCAAGAGGTGATGAAGGCGTGGATGAGTGTTTCAGCGGCTGCGGAGGAGAGTGAGGGACGGAGACGGGCGATGTTTTTGAGATGAAAGAAGGCGTTTTTTGTGATGTGATTGACGTGGCGTTCATATGAGAGTTTGATCGAAAATGATCCCGAGGTTACGGACATGTGTGGAGGCAGGAACAGTGATGCCATCGATGCAGGGAGGGAGAAGTTGTGGAGGGATTTGTTTAATGATTTGGGGCCGATGATGAGGACTTCAGATTTGTCGGTGTTGAGTTTGAGGAAGTTTGCTTGCATCCGGGTTTTTATATCTGTTAGGCTGTTGGTGATGGTGGAGTGGATGGTGGGGGTGATGGATTTGGTGGAGATGTAGAGCTGGGTGTCGTCAGCGTAGCAGTGGAACTGGAGACCATGGTGGCGTATGATGTCACCAAGGGGGAGCAGGTAGAGGATGAAGAGGAGAGGACCGAGTAGTGAACCTTGGGGGACACCTTGAGAGACTGGGGCTGTGTCAGACTTGAATTTGTTGATGCTAATGAACTGTTCACGGTCAGAGAGGTATGATTTAAACCAAAAGAGGGCTGTGCCAGTGATGTGGAGGGAGGACTCGAGACAGGAAAGGAGGATGGAGTGGTTGATGGTGCTGAAGGCTGCGCTGACGTCGAGCAGTATCAGGATGTTGAGGGAGTGTTCATCAGAGGAGAGGAGGTGGTCGTTGGTGACTTTGATGAGGGCAGTTTCTGTGCTGTGATGAGATCTGAATCCGGATTGAAATGGTTCATACAGTTGGTTTGAGTCTAGGTGGGTTTTCAGTTGATGGGCAACAGTGCGTTCCAGTATTTTAGACAGAAAAGGGAGATTGGAGATGGGTCTGTAATTGTTGTGAATTTCGGGGTCAAGGCCAGGTTTTTTGAGGATGGGTGTGACTGAGGCGAGTTTGAGGGCGGGAGGGACGGAGCCAGTAGACAGGGAGGAGTTGATGACAGAGAGGAGGTGCGGGTGGAGGGCCGGGAGACAGGCCATAACTAAAGTGGAAGGGATAGGGTCAAGGTCACAGGTCGGAGTCTTCATGCCAGAGAGTGATTTATTGAGAGGAGGAAAACATGGAGGAAAGGTTGAGTTTGCATTGACTGGAGAACAGGTGAAATTAGAAATCAAGGCCCATTTTAAATATAGCTCTGGTTCTCTCTGCATTTGATGTAATTAAAGAGCCCTTTTAGAAGTATCACCCACACAATTTGATCAGCAATTCAGGCGTGAAACCAGGCTTTGTTTTTTGCAACTTGATTTTCATAATCGTTTGTAAAAATGTAAAGCAATAGCGTAAATGTACGGAAAAGGTGTTTTTGCTGCTGGTCGCATGAAGAGAGATGTTTAAAGTGACAGACTCCCCCACTGACCCTCAGGGACTGTAAATGGAGTCACTAGCTCCAGAAGATGATGTGAAATATCACACTGTGTTATAGGCTCCTCGTTACTGGGGCTCGTTAGAGGCCTCCCAGTATTCCCCTGCTGCTCTAATTGCTCCCAGAGTGACACTTGCACCGGCCGTTTGAATGCGCTGGTGGAACATTATTGGCATATTAGAATGCATTGGACTTCCCTCCTCACAGTATCACATCACCCACGTCTGCCTGCTCAGTCTGTCTTTGTTACAAGAGATGAGAGCAGTAACGAAACTAACCAAAAACCATTGATCCAGGATTATGTACCCTGATTGATTGATTGATTGAAGTTTGTAGTTTAGGGTCAACACCAGCTCTTTCAGGGATTCAGCTTGAAGGAAAAACTCCATATCCTTCTTCTGCCCCCCCCCCCCCTCCTCTCAAGCAGGTAAAGTGGTTGCTATGCAACGGCCACGGTGCAGGGCAGCAGTAAGTGCTTTATGTTAATTAAAGGCTGTTACACTGCAGAGCTGTTGACGACATGCGTCCAAGGACCATGACTAGTTCCTATTTTTGACCTCAGCACTAAAGGGAGTGATAGACCGTTAACCCTGCACTGTCCTTCATTCTCCGTCTGACTTGTGACCATTGAATGGAAATGAGCTGGGACTCAGACGTCCATGACCATGAAGAGGACAACTGGTTTCTGCAGGGACGGCACATGCTCCTCTCTGCAGCCCACACATATCCAATATGATTCTGTTTTTAATAAGCTTATTGTCATCAATCATTCGCAACCACTCCCCTCTTAGTCTCCTCTTAGTCTATTAATCTTCTAGTCAGTCGGGATGGGATCGATACCAGTACTCTTATCTATACTGCTTATCTGTTCTTTTTGATTTTATTGTGAGAGAAAAAATAATTAATTAAGAAAAGAATCAACATTGCTTTATTATTCTAGGATGTAAACAAATAGTATTTCTTGAGCAGCAGTACAAGAAGTTCCAAAATCCTTAAAATACATTCCCAGCTAAACAATTCTCATAGTGATTATCTTTCACTGATTATCCTGTTCGTCTGATCAAACTGCGTATATCATCACTAACCCTACCTGCAGTGGACAAACAGGTTGATGTTCTGCTTGTTGGCTACATGTTGTGATGAACTGCTGCTGTTTCCTCTCACTGGTTAAGGTTTTATTGAGTTTGTTCTCAGCCTCTACTGGAGTCAAATGTAGCCGCACTTTAGATCTTTTTCTTCTTTTGAGACGAGGACATCTCACTCCAGAACTTCCAAAGTACCGATAGCAGAACTGTTAACTCTGGACCGCATCAATACTCCGGGTTTTTAATCATTTAGAACCGGTTCCCATTTAGAACGGAGTTTCAGGGGGCATCCCTACTGGCATCTAACAGAACAGCACTGAGTGGAGGGATTTCCTAAAACACTTCCTTACACCTAGTCCTACACTCTTAAGCTTTGGCTATACTTTCCGCAGACGATCGCATGGACATGAGCTGACGTGAATTTGTGAAAACTTGTTTCCACCTGGAAACTTTATAAAATGTTCTACCTAGATCCCAACATACAAGTTTTACCCAGAAACCCCTATGAGAGATCCTTTAGAATGCTTATATGGTCTGATGGTTTCACCCAGAACCCTCTCTGGAGGTTCAATTCCGAACCTTTCCACCTTCTTAAGGTGCTAACAAGAACCCACCCAGGTTTTTTTTTAAATTTATTCCAAGGTATTCATCTAGAACCCACCCAGGGTTATTTTGAGACTCTTAAAGGGCCGGGGCTGATGTGCTGCACACCACCCACAACAATCATGATTCACAATCAGAGTTTTTGGGGCTGTGTTGGCTGACAGGATCTTTAAACCCATGTTTTCAACAACCATTGAAGAACTCTTTGATTCAAAAGGGTTCTTCCGAAGCAAATGGTTTTGGGTAGAATCTCAGGCCTTCATGAAGAACCCTTATTTCCAAGAGTGTAGATGTAGGACCAAAAATGTGTCAATCTGAGTACTTTTGGCCAGTTAGGACTCATTTCCTACTCTAAGACCCTTGGTAAATAAAAGACTGTGTGTCTGCAGGTCCCCTCCCTTATTCCTGTTCTGTTGTTCAAACTGGGGAAGGAGAAGAATCCGGTCCTGGCTCACGCTGTGCTGAACTGCCTGCCAAACCTTGGGACTCACAAGGTACTGAGCACCTACGCAATGTTATGTTATGACATGAAATACAAACCACTGCACATCACACTTCATTTCAAATCCTCATCTTTAAGGATTGTTCTTGTTGAAGTGTGATTCATATTCTGAATGTGTATGTGCAGAAAGCTCATTTCAGCTGATATTAACCAATAACACACGCCATGTGCTTTAATGTTCCAGCTCTGTGTGCCCATGGTGCTCCAGACTCTCCACATGCTGGCCAGCGCCCCCAAGCTGAGAGCAGTGGCAATGCGCCTCATGACCGCTCTTTGGAAGAAACAGGTCCGTGATAACGAACGGTCATCGTGTTTCCCGTGTCGCGTTCTTGTCCGCCTCCTCCTCACAACCCGCTTTGTTCCTCCCTGTCAGGATCGAATCTACCCGGACCTGCAGCGTCTGCTGAGCCAGCAAGACAGCAGGGTGGTGGTGGGGAGGGACGCCCAGTGGGAGCAGATCCTGGCCAGAGCCGCCTGCCTCAGGGACATCTGCAGAGAGAGGTCAGGGATGTGGTGTGACGGGAAGTGGTGCTTTCTTTGAGGGATGACATTAGGGTCTGATTGATTTAATGCAAAGGGGAGAGGCAAAGAATTGAGTAACGTCGTACGCTTTTATTTAAATTACACCTATTCATTTACATCATGTTTTATGATTGTGTATCAGGCCTTACCAGCATGGAAGTGACATGTTGGCTGTCATCACGCTTACTCTGAACCAGTGCACCAGACCAGACATGGCAACCCCTGCTGCTCTCGCCCTGCAAGGACTACAGGAGCTGTGCCGGGCAGAGGTCAAACACACACACACACGTAGCCAACGTTTGCTGCATGTGCGGTAAACCTAGGCACTGACTTGAGTGAGGCTTGTGTTGCAGGTGGTGGACATCGTCTCAACATGGAGAAGTCTGGGACCCAAGCTGAGCTGTGACTCGCGTCCACTGATGGTCAAAGTCATAGCGGAACTTCTGGCTCTGGTACCCCAGCTCACTGTTAAGTCGGATGAATACGAGGTATCGGATGTACTGGATGAAAGTGTTTGAACTGTTTGATGCACTGTTAGAGCTTAGTTTTAGTGTTTTTAGTCTTCCCATCAGTCTGTTTGCTCGTTCCAAAGGGGGGTATTCCCAAAATACAGCTAGCATGTATTTCTAATGGTGGCATGAAAAATAGACTCTGACTAATCAGGAACTTTTGCACATTATGCCTTTAAATAGATAATAATAACATAGATATATATATATATATATTTGTATACATATAAACAGAGCCAGCTGTCTTTATGTGCCTACTTTTTAATTGATTGCAGCAAGTTTATGTGTCTATTCTACAAGTTTATAGGATGTGGTTAGCCTAGCTTAGCATGAAGACTGGCAGCAGGGGGAAACAGTTAGCCTGGCTCTGTCCAAAGTTCAAAAATACCCCTGCCAACACTTCTAAAGGTGTTAGTTCAATATGTACTCCAACAACAATGCAAACATTTCAGGTTTCCTGAGACTGAGCGACTGTGTGCAGCTTCCTGAAGTCTTGTCGTCAGAGTGAGGTTATCAAGTTTGGTACCATTGTACATGACCAGAGACCAAAACCTGTGCTCACCGACGGAAGACCCCCAACTTAAAATAGAGACCCTAAACAAAAGTGCGGGGCTGATGGACGTACCGTTGTTCATCAGGTCTGATGTAGCTCCTGCACACAACTCCCACAAACGTGTTTGCATTTCTGCAAATTACTTGGTGCTGATATTGAGTTCTCACTCTCAGAAAGAAATTAGAATATTTCCAGATTGTTCTGTATCTATAAAGAGTAGGGCTGAAACATGTTTGCTGTCACTGTTGAGTGCTATAACATAACCAGTGAGTGTAATTTCTGAAAATTAGAAAGTTACTGTTTGCTTTACAAATGCTCTGTTTTCCCAGAAACTGAAGGAGGAGGTGGTCAGCTTTCTCTGGAATTATGCTGTGAGCAAGGTGTGTGTACTGAAGATATCTGCTCTATGTGTGTGTGTACACACCCCCAGGTCTGGGGGATTTGTGTCATAATTTACAGAATTTAGACACTTGATCAATTTGATACATATTGTCATATTGACAAAACATTGCTGGTGCAGCAAATCGTTTCTCACATGGAACTTACAAAATTAGAATGAAACCAAACCTGTCTAATGTGAAATGTAGTTACGTTCCCCAGAGAATGATCATTATTCAGCTTTACAGAGCCCTGAAACGTCTGCTCAAACCTCAGTCAAACCTAGTCATCTGTGTCACATCTCCTGCAGTCTGCTTATATTTCAAACATTGAGTCATCTATGTATGTACTGAGTTAAAAACTGTGTGTGTGTGTGTGTGTGTGTGTGTGTGTGTGTGTGTGTGTGTGT